GTTTAACCTGTGCCCAGGTTTAGAGCAAGAAAAACTATCTCTAAGCAGTTCTTTTGAGAAAACTGCCCATCTAAGCAGCACAGATCCCTTTGCATACGGTCAGTTTCAAAGACTTTTCTTTTTCCATCTTATCTAATGAGCGGAGACAAAATGGCCATGCTAATAGAAACTGTTTTGCATTCCAACTGCTGCTGAACTCGTATAAAACACACACTTACATAAAGGCTCAGAAATGTTTAAAATCTTTAGCCTACCACTATTCAGCTCACTGCTGCCTTTCCTCTGTTTTGCTTTCGTCCCTGTCACTGGTCCAAGGTGTCAGAGGATCTGATGTTCCCTGCCCCCATTACCACCTCTAATCACTACTGAGATTACTGACACCATTCTCTTGCCTTCTCCCCCCCCCCCCCCCTTCTCAGGTCTCTTGTCAGGTTTCCCATTCTTCTCCGCTTTCCTTGAAGAAGGCTGGCCTCCTATTCAACACTGCCAGCCAATTACAGTTCCTGTCCTTCAAGGAGACAAACTGAGTAATCCTCACAGGCGAGATAAAATCTCACTTCTTTGCAGCTTCCTGGCTGCTTGCTTTTGCTCAGTGCCCAAGGTCTGAGGTTTCTGAAAGGCTGAGTATGTTCACTAAACTCTGCACTGGAGAAAAATTTGGTTGTACAGTTTGGTTGAGTGCGTGTAGCAGACTAGTCAGTGAATTGGGTATGACTTAGAAAAGCAGGGAAGTGTGATCCTTAGGTCAAGGTCTTAGATGCAAAACCTTCTCTTCCCATCAGGCCATGGGGTAGGAAGGTGAACTAAGAGGAAGTACCTAGTCCTTTGGGGGCTTGGTGCCCAATACTTTCAAATAGCAGCTGCAGTTCTTGGCAGGCCCTCACAGGAATACTCCCATTCTGTGCCTTCGGAGCGACAGGGGTCAAGGGTTGGATGGGGAACATTTAACAAAGTAATGGGGGATCTGAATTAACTTTCTGAGTCTAACTGACTCACTTGACAACTGAGTCTTTGAGTTCTCTCCCAATGAATACAGGGCCACCTCCCCTGGGGGACCCAACCTGTGAGGGGCCAATTTGTATATTACCATTTTCTTTCTTTCAGTTCTTTGCAAAAAGAAACTACATTAAGTTTTAGAAATCGTTGAATCTTAACTATAAAATGAAACTATAGCTACAGGAATAAATTATTTCTCTGCATTTGAGAAGTTTAACTTCTGATCAACTGAAGAAGAGAACTTCTACTTAACAGTTTTGATTGTATATCACTAATGTAAAGTGAATGCAGAACATCCACTTTATATTCCTATTGTGTTGGCTCAAAGAGCCAACGAAACCCGTGGGCCCTGCCCTTAAAACACTGAAATTCTTGATGGATAAAGAAGATGAAGTTCAAAAATTATTAGAACAGTTTACAAACAGGCATGTGTACATTTTATGAACTTAAATATTGGTTAAATAAGCGAGCCTAAATTGTGTGGCCCTTAAAATATGGGCATTGGATAATTATTATTAAAGGCACATAAAATGCATGAGTTTCATCATTCCTAATATATCTGCTTAGTAGACTTGTAACTTGAGAGTTATTTGGAAAACAATGCTGTTTTTGTTAGGATTCCATCTGAGGTATAAATTTTGTCTTAAGAACTGGGCAGAAAGGATTTAGTAGGATTAAGCTTGGCTCTCAAAGTACATTCTGAAAAGAACAAAGGAAAAGATCTGCCTATTGTAACAAGTCCATTTAGATGCCGTTAAGATGTCTTCCTTTACCAGCCTTGTCCAGGACTCAGCTTTTGAAGTTATTATTTATGAAAAAGTTATATTAAATACTGACCAAGGATAATAAATTTACCTCCACCCTCTTGCTAGACCCAGGGACAAAATGAATAATAATGCATATTCAGGCATGTGCTTTAACTGTAAACCAAGACTATCAAAAACCAAGACATAATTTGTCTTTTCCTTATAGAATAGTCATTAACATACTTAATGAACTTAAAATTAACTCAACAAAATTCTCAGTGGGAGAGGCACAGAGAGTTCAAAGGACCACTCCTTAATCCCTTCAAACTTCTCATCACGGAAAATTTTCATCACTTGTTAATGGGGTATCAAATTTTTTTTTTTTTTTTGAGAGAGAGAGAGATGCAGAGAGAGTGAACAGGGGAGGGGAAGAGAAAGGTAGAGAATTCCAAGCAGGCTCCACATTGTCAACACAGAGCTCGTTGTGGGGTGCAAAGCCACAGACCCTGAGACTACAACCTGAGCCGAAACCGAGTCGGACACTTAACTGATTGAGCCCCGCAGGTGCCTGAGGGCATTTTTTTTTAAGTCCTGCCTCTGAGGTACAGAACAAAAACTCATCTGTAATTGTATTTGCAAAGTTACAGCTACACTTCACCCTGAGTGTTCCTGACAATTGCTAATCTAAAAGTTGGCTTTAGAAGGGGACACAGAAGGGCTAATAATGTCCATCATCAATGGATAAATTGTGACATACTCATATGATGGAATGTTACTTGGTAATAAAGAGACTATGAACACATTGAACAACATAAAAGAATTTCAAAAAATTGGAAAGTCAGACACAAAAGAGTATGTATTATCTGATTTCATTTATGTGAATTTCTAGAATAAGCAACACTAACCTATGGCGGTAGAAGTCAAAACAATAGTTACATGAGAAAGGATTAACTGGAAAGGGGCTTGAGGGAATTTTCTGTAATAGAAAAGTTATGTTTCTTTATTGGGGTTGTGGTTACCAAATCTCAAACTATACATTTAAAATCTGTGCAGTTCATTGAATGTAAATTATGTTTTTTAAGTACTAATTATCTACTAGATTCTAAAGTTAAATATAATCTATGACTGTAGATAGCATCTAATAATTCTTACTATGATTAAAAATCAACACGGGCATTCAGAAAGCAGATAGGAAGCTTTAATTCACTGTGGGCATTTCTCTGACCAATATTATAAACTTTACATATCTTCATACAGATACATCTTTTATAAGACACAGGTTTTTTACCAAGTACTGTGAAACATACCACCATTCCACTTATTTAAGGGCGTATTATAAATATCATGAGCCACTGATTAAATATAAATACAGAGGTTGATACATGTTAGAAAGTTTCCATAATAAAAAAAAGTTTAAGAAAGGCTGAACTATGAAAGTTTACATGTGTTTTTTACTTTAAATATCACATCACAGTGACAGCCAATTATAATAAAATTACAACTGCTTTTAAATGATAGTACATCCATATTTCTAACATCCAGTTATTTTCATTTCCACAATGTCAACTCCACATTACATTTTCATTTCTAAAGAGTAGACTAGCTTTTGGACTGCAGACCAAGTTTCTTGTGCAAGAATAAATTACTATCTTGATTGTGACCACTGGAAACTAAATTTATATACACTGTATTAAATAGAGATGAGACTATTAAATATATAATAACATGGAACTCTTCAGTAGCGGTGTTCAAGAAAAATTGAAATAATAGCCTGCAAATGGTTTTTTTCTTAATGTTTATTTATTTTTGAGAGAGACAGAGTAGAGTGGGGAAGGGGCAGAGAGAGAGAGGGAGACAGAGAATCTGAAGCAGGCTCCAGGCTCTGAGCTGTCAGCAGAGCCTGACCTAGGACTCAAACACATGAACTGCGAGATTGTGAACCGCGAGATCATGACCTGAGCTGAAGTCAGATGCCAACTGAGCCACCCAGGCACCCCTGAAAATGGGTTTTAATTGCTACAGCAGTCTACATATATTTCATTAAAAAGATGACATCACTGTCAAAACATTTAGAAATAAATATATGGCAGAGCCTCCCTCTTCCAAGACGCAGCTTGGAAGAAAAGTTCCAAGCTGAATTAAGGGGAAAAAATAGGGGGGAAAAACCCTTCAGAAAATATACATTATATGATGCTCTGAACTACAATCTTCCTGAGTCTGTTTTTCAACTGGAACAAGTTTTAGTCAGTTCTACATTGCTTTAGTGTCCACAATCCAGACGGAGTCCTTGAACAGCCAGTTTATATCCTACAGAAATTGGAAGGACTCCTAAACACCCCTCAACTAATTATACAAGGGAAAGCTGATCATGTGTTATATTAAAATCTATGCGAATATCAGACACAGTCATAGCCATTCTTTTACCAGTGATGCTAGAGTAAGTGATGAAAATATATGCACAGCTGTACACAGATCACCATTAAACACAGGAACAAATGCCATTGATGCATATCAAATAAGCTCCCAAAAAGCCAATTTGAATGTTTATTTTCATTTATTTTGTTACAGCATTAGAAGGGACTGCATATAATTACAGGGACTGCTGCATACAACACTTGATGCTACTAAGTGTTCTATTAAGCATCAGGCATGCACGACAGTTACCTTTTAAAATTTCTCACTGTATATATCTTAAGATTTCTATTTATAAGCTACAATATGTTTAAAGCATTTAGTGATTTTTTAAACCAAATATTTTAACTGACCTATGTCTACGTGGAGAAAAACAAAAACTCCCTCCCTGGTTCTCAACAGCTGAAAGTAATATTAAATCTTACTCCCCAATTTGATATTTAAACTTAATTCCAAAGGTGGGGACCATCCTTATCACAACTAAATTGGGAGTGTGACTTCCTGGAACAATCCACCCACCACACACAGCATGCTAAACCTCTGGGGACTACACGATAAGCATGACGTGCTGGTGGCTACAGATGACAATAATTGAATGGTCTCTTCTTTTTATTCTGGATCTTTTTATTTTAAACGAAATGAAATAATTTCATTAATACAACCTAAAAAATAATTATTTTTTCTTTATTTAACATCAATATAAGAGTGGACCAACCTAAAAACACTGTCTTCAAGTGTGTGGCAAAACACAAAAGGTTTCGATTACATTAGGTAACCAGGGGTGGTAAATGGAGTCATTTGTTTTCCATTTAAGAAGCATTCCGGTCAAATAATCACAAACACTTACAAATTCAGACTGCTTGGCTCTCAGTCATTTATGGCTTAAAGTACTAGATTTGAAAACCACTTCAGGCTAAATTAAATTTACATGAATAATGCATAGGTTGTATATCTAGGAACTCATGCAATAAATAAACGTTCTCATGTACACTGGAATCTCAGTGACGGAAAGGGTCTGTGGGTGTGAACAGAACGTTTCTTCCCTATTACCAAGAGAATACGCCCAGCAAGATCCTGGCTTTTGGCCTTTTCAAGATCCTACTTGCCAGGTCATCTGGATTTTCTCAGATCGATAAAAGCAGCCAACGTCACAAGGCATTTGCAACAAGGAACTGACTGGCCTCAACTGCGGGTGCCGTGAGGTCCGAGCGAGGCCGAATGAGACTCTCGCGGTCCTGCCACCCTGCCTCAGAGTCAATTTAGAGGCCTTGACTGGCTAGAGTATCAAATGGGTAAATGTTTAGTGACGCGCTGGAAACCTTTATTATATTAGTATCTCTTACGAATCTATTCACCCTTTAAAATCTATATCATCTGAGAACTGCCAGGGCGGGCTGCACCCACTATTCCTGGTTTTGATACGCCCCCACAACGTGAGAATTGAACTGAACCACAATGATCGTTATGTCGTCTCTGTACATCCGAGCAAGCTCCTCAGGAAGACTAAGCATTTTGGACAGGCGCTCGTGATCTACAGCCCCAAACTCGTTGTTGCCCACTGCATGACGAATGAGATGGGTCGCCGCATTCTGATCCTCAAACACTGAGGACATCTTGGCTCTCCTTTCTGTTAAAAGGCCATGCATCTGCCCTAGCGTCACCTTGTAGCCCCCAACAGCTATGGGCTGTTGGTGATGCATGCCCGTCAGGTACTCGCCCACAATCCGAACCACGTCCTGCCTGTGCATTGTCTCCCACAACCCATCAGTAGCCAACACCAGAAACTTATCCTGTGGCCTTAATCGGTGGTAAGTCACCTCTGGCTCAGCAGTGAGATAAGGAGGCGTGTAGTAATTAGGAGGGATAAACTTGGTATATTCATTGTCATTCAACTGGTCTGGGCCTGATTCTATCACTCTCTTTTGCAGGTCAATGCTCCATTTGAACTTTACGTCTCCAAAAGCCCTAAAAGGCATCAGCAAGCCAAGCAGCCGATCCTGTTTCACCACACTCTTGGCCTCGTTCTTTGGGTGTTCCAATTTCAGCCGTTCCAATTCTCTTTCATTCTGAGCATTGTGGTCATTAGAGAGAGTGACTGCCGACCAAGAGCCGTCCTCTTCCTGCACGCCCAGCATGGCTCTGCTATCGCCGGTGTTAGCCACGTGAAGGTCAACACCATCTACGTGGGCCACACAAGCAGTGGCCCCTGAGAATGCCACTCGGAGCACCAGATAATTGAGGAAAGAATTGGGATCACCGACTTGAGCCTCCAAAGAGATGTCGTTGTCAAGCCTCTTGAAAGCATTGATTAAAGCCTCCTTCACATCAATATCAGTAGACTCGCCGGTGTTGAGGTCTATAAGTTCTTGCCAGTAAGTCCTTAAGCTGTTGAAGTACAATTTGGATGCCTCCTTACTGAAGTAATCATTGGGGTGCTTGTGCCACTGGAGAATGGGCAGCAGTGCCCGGCCGCTCTCGACTGCATTTTCGATCTCTAGCAAAGTCTCATGGGGTAACAAGGAGACGGCAATGTAATAGAAGAGTCTCTCGCTGACTGCCTGGGAGCACGCACAGCCTGCGTGGCCGTCAAAAACCCCCAAAAGCATCCCTCTGGTCTGCAAGCAAGTAGCTGCGCTTCTCCGGTCCTCGATGGGTGCGTTTGCAGGCAGCTGATTGCTGTCAAATCCAAGGACAGAACTGACATTTTTGCCATCGAATTCTGGCACTTTGAAGCTGTATTCGTTGGCCTTCAGGATGCTGTTGACCTGCGGAGGCGTGAGGTAAAACCTCTGCGGCGTGGAGGCGTATCTCCTTCCCTGGGTATACTGCCACCAGCTGTCCTTCGGCCGGCAGAAGGTGGCATAGGCTGGGTGGGGCGCGTATCGCAGGCGACTCTGGGGGACGTAGGGTGACGGACAGCAGAGGTGTTTGTGGTGGCAGTAGCACGCGGTGCCATAGATTCTGCTCAGCTCACAGTTCCGGATCAGAGGGAAAAACAGTTGAGTTGGTGCTGGCATGGCATCAGAGAACAGTGGCAGGCTGGAACTTCTGACAGGGATTCCTAGACAGCGATCACACAGACACACACACAGAGGAGAGTTACATTCCGGATCACGTCGTCCATCTCCGCTTTTACAACAAATATTTAGCAGGCAAAGCTACACGCTAAGCCCTGCGCTAGAAAGCACTGTATTTTATACACCTCGCCTGGACTATTTCCACACGGGATATTCTGCACAGCACAATTCTCAGTCACTTACGAAGCCAAGACTGTAGTCCAGCTTCACTTTTCTCTTTTTCTCATATTTCCTTGTGCAGCACAGACTGTGCAGAATGCACAACAGATCTGGCTGGGGAAAAGCTGAGGAGATGAAGATTATATAACCATATGCAGTGGCAGTCTACCTGGCCAAACACTCTTCTCCCTCTCTATCCTTAAAAAGGCCTTGGATCGCCCATGATGAAAATCCAGTTTCTAGATTTGTGGTCAGTTGTAACATGTGATTACACATGGTTACGCCAAAATGGTGTTAGAATACGGCTCCAACACACGTATGTTCGGTAAGTTATATACGCACACTACCGAATTAATAGAATGTTCATATGCAATATGAACATATATAGGGGAAAAATTACATAATGAATAAAAATAGAAATTCCAGTATTCCTTTCCCGCACCTCAGTGGGCAGCCTTGCAAACTACACTTCTCTAAACCAATGCGCCAATTCGGTGAGCTTAGGGACATAGGTCTGCCACCATCTTGCCAAATAATCCTAGAAATGTGAGCTTACCTCTTTGGGCCTCACTTCCCTAGGCTGTAAGTGAACACACAGAAGCAGATGCTATCGAAGGCCTCTTCTGGGACGCTATGCCTTTATAAGTGTTTGTTGAAGTGAGACTTTGAAATCAAATGCAGGTTTCATTTATTCATTGTTTAATTACTGTACGCTTTGTGATAAAAAGAGGCTTAAGTATGCTAGTAGCTCTAAAGCTTTGTTAGTAATGTAAATGGTCTCAGTTCTGTAATTTAATTTACTTGCTAGCATTTTCCCCTGCTAATCAGCCAGAAGGGAAAACTACAGAAAGACTATTTTCATCCATTATGGATCGAAGGAGAATTCAATCCCTAGAAAAATATTTTCTCTTACATTTAAAATAAAAGTATGTATTTGCCTTAAGGAAGAAATAAAGAATAGTGAAATAATAGTCTAACATTTGTATAAAAAAGGAACACATATTAATCATGGATAAAAATCATTAACACTATGTGACACTGAAAATATTTTGCTGGACACTTATCTAGAAAATTTATGTGAATGTGTATCATTAATCCAGATAATTTATGCAAAGAGGAAAAAACCTCTTCCTTCTCACTAACATTTATTTCCCCTGCATTCTTGAGGTATTGCTTCAAAATAATTCATTTGGCCTATAAAGAAACAGACTTTAGAATACTTTAGATAAGGAAACAAATGCAGTAAACAAAAAAGAATACAGAAAACAAAACCGTTTGGGTTTCACTGTCAGCAATTACTTCTTAAGGTTGAACCCATTAAGGAAAAAAATTTACAAATATCAGAGATTGTTAGCTATACATTACATTCTTTTCAGGTAACCCCTTTTGAAGAGTAATTGGAGAAGTGATAAGTGGGATGTGTGAGAGCAGAGAAAACCAAGCACCAAATAATAATTTCTCTTGTTTGTTTCTGTAATAAGCACTGCATAAGCGAGGCATACAGGACCCCTTTGGCAAGTGACAGAAAGCACCATTATTTTAAATGCACTATTTCAGAAAGGATTTGTTTTAAAAACTGAAGGCAAGATTTGACAATAGAAGGTAATAATTAGAATTTTGGAAAGAAGATCAATAAATGGATAAGCACTCTGAAGTGCAGTAATGAAAAACAGAAATTCCAGAAGAACAGGAATCTATCAAGACTAACCGCTTAAATCACCGCACTTCAAACTGAATACCTGAAAGTCATCCAGAGGTTAAGGGTACATGATTGAGCCAGGAGATGTGCTCAAATGTTGTGCCACATGACGCTGGCTTCCAGACATAAACCATACCTCGTTAGAGCTGCATGCAGAAAGCACATTAACTCATTTCATGCTTTGTGTACAGATTTTCTATTATTAAAAATATAAAGATGCCCATTTTAAGAGAAATTTTCTCCATAATCTTATATTTTTAAGATTTTATTTTATTAAAATTTTTAAAAAATATTTATTTTTGAGAGACAGAGAAACAGAGCAGGGGAGGGTGCAGAGAAAGAGAGAGACACAGAATCTGAAGCAGGCTCCAGGCTCTGGGCTGTCAGCACAGAGCCTGATGCGGGGCTTGAGCTCTAAAACTGTGAGATAATGACCTGAGCCAAAGGAGAGCCACTCAGGTGCCCCTTTAAGATTTTATTTTTAAGTAATCTCTACACCCAGCGTGGGGCTTGAACGCACAATCTAGAGATCAAGAGTCGCATGCTCCAGCGACTGAGCCAGCCAGGCACCCCTCTCCATAACTTTAGATAAGTTTGTATTTGTGCTTACTTTACAACTTAAGACTTTTACAGGAAGAAGAAATGTCTGCTTCTGTATGGAATGCAGACCGAACCAAAGCACTGCTGTGTGTGTGTGTGTGTGTGTGTGTGTGTGTGTGTGTGTTTGCAAGAGGGGTTTGATAGAGGAGTATCAGGGTTTCGTTACAGGTCTAATCAAGGAATAACAAGTTCAAGAAACCTGCACTTTTCTTAAATTCCTTCGTTTTGACAATTTTTCTGCTTTTGTAGTGGATTGCAAAATGAATGAAGTATTGTGGCAAAAGAACTGATTCATGCAGCAGATGCTTTGAATAATATGTAAAACCAAACAGCAAGCACTCACATACTCAGATAATAATACTACATTTTTCCGTAAAGGTGAAAGTTCTCAAGATTAAAAAAAAAAAAGCAGAGTGGATTTTATCAACTGTATCTTTCAGTTATTCAGGAGCTTAGCATATGGATCGAGATTGTATCCCAATCCCCCAACTCCCAGCATATTTCACTTAGAGAATATGGAATTCATGAAAACTCTGCTCTGTGATTCCTGAGTGTTCTACCATCATCATCAGTACACACGACATAGTCTCTCCATCAGACCAGACATCCTTAGAAGTCAAAGTACTTTCAAATGCCTTTTCAAACCATAAGTGAGCATTCAAAAACTCTGAGTATCTTTCTGAATATCCTAAGATTCAACAACAACAAAACCCCATGAAATCAAAACTTTTGCTGGCAAACTCATTAAATTAATGAAGTTGAAAGCTCTTGAGTTGGCAATTAAGAACAGCAACAAGGTATGGCATTGGTAAACTGGAGGAATGTCGTATTTTCAAGTGATTTCTGACCACAATTTCACTGAAAAGTTCCTATCCCATGATCCACGTTAGATGCAGCATCTTAGTCCTAGGCAAATTTGACCCATTTTGCCAATGACTAATAAGAAAAGATGCAATGCAATCCGAAACAGGAGAGAGACCCATCCATTCTTACTGATGTGCTCGACAGAGCCTGTGCCAAGAAATCATTCCACTTCATTCAATAAACCCACGGACCATATTAATTAGAAAATACTGTTATACCGCACCGACTCGGGAGCTCGTTAGCTTTCAAAGCTTTTGGTTAAAAAGAAAAAAAAAAAAAAAGCTATACTAGTCATTCAATGTGTCAGAACCTCAGTTTATGTAATCCAATTGCATTAAACATCCTGTATAAAGACTTTCCAATTTTCAGCATTTTCTGGAAATGCCTAGCCATTTCACAGCTCTTGTTATCTCTACATGAATGAAGAAACCGGTTTCCCTCGGAAGCCACGAAGCCCCAAGCCAGCACTTGTTTGATTAGTTTCCTTTGTCCCCACCTGAAAACTGCACTAAGGTATCAAAGCTATCCAGGTCCAGGACGCCTTTGTTGCCTTTTTCTGTCTACCTCACCCCTAATTCCACGGCGACCCAGCTAAAACCGTCCACACACAAAATCAGTCATCATCCTTTCTGGGTACCCAACGCAGGTAGTTAGGCGAATACCTACCAATTCGTCTGGGCCCGGGACACACACACATTCTCCTGTCATCACAACACGGAGCCGACAACATCCACAACTCGCGCGGACAGCAGCAGCGACAGCAGCACCGGCCCATTGAAAGCAAGGCAGAGATGCTCATTAGAGGAGGCGGCGGCGGGGGAGGCGGGCACGGAGGAGGGGCGAGCTCTCGCTCCAGCCCCGAGAATGGGGCTGGGAGGGGGAAAAGGATGGAGCAGGGAGAAAGGGGTGGGGAGAAGAAGGAAACCAAACAAACAAACCCACCCCGCTGGAGAGGCAGGAACGGAGCCCGAGGCGGCGGGGACCCAGCCGTGAGAAGAGGCGCGCCCCGGGACCGGTCCCTCCATCCAACCCCGGCGCAGAGTCCACCGGCCCCCGGCATCCTCCGCCCGCTGCCCACCCGCCGGGCCCACGCAGCGCCCGCTTCGGTCCAGAAGCCCAAGGCAGGGATCAGCCCGCGGCAGGCTGCCTTGGGGTCACCCCAGACTCCGGGATGCGTACGGGGGACCCTCAGGCAGAGAGACGCCACCCAGCCAGCGCCGCACCTCCCCGGAGATCGCCCTCGCGCAGGTTCTCCACGGCGCCCCCGGCGCTGACAGCGGCCGCAGCCGGCCCGCCCCCCACCCAGAGCCCGCGGCGGCCCCTTGGCGGCGCCGCCACGCCCGCCCGCAGCTCCGACGCCCCCGCGCGCACCTAGCGCTCCAGGGCTCGTCCCTCCTCCGCCCCGGCCGCCGCCCGCCACCCCTTGGCACGCCTGCGGCCGCCGCCCGCCACCCCTTGGTACGCCCGCGGCCGCCGCTTCCCACGCGTGCCGGGCAACCTCCTCACAACTTTGGGCGCGTAGAGGATTCCTGACTGGACGACTCGGGGCATGGGGCAGGGAATACGAACCGGGCACACAGGGGAGGAGCTGCTTCTTCCCGACGAGGAAGCGGCCGGAGCAGTAGCGGAACCACCAGGCACTCCCTCCAAACCGCCTGGCGTAACTCCCCGGAGTGCGGCCCCTGGCCCCCAGCTGGCCCACTCCCTGCCCCGCCGGACCGCCACCCTGCCCCGCCCGAACGTCCGGGCCGAGGCACTTCCCGCCCTCCGATTGGCTGCGCACGGGAGAGTGGGCGGGGAGGAGAAGTGAGGGCCAGGCCCGAGTCGGGAAGGGGGGGCGGAAGAGCAGCGCGCTCCCAGCCAGCTTTGTGACGTCATGGGGGTCAGACAATCCCTTCCATTCCGAGCGAGCAGCTCATTGGTTCCACTGGTGCTCCTCACGTGACCGCGCCCGGTAGCGGTAGGTGGGGCTTTGTGGCGCAAGGGACCCGCGACCAGCCGGGTGCGGCGGCGTGGAAGCGGCAGCAGACTCGCCGGGTTGGGAAGAAGCGTCCGGGCCCGCCCAAGCATCCCCCTGCCCTGGGGTCCCCGCGGGCCGGCTGTTCCCGGTCGGACGGGCTTTCGCGAATCCCTGGCACCTCGTCAGGTGACCGGCCTTGGCCTTGCAGCTTGGCGGTTCAGCCTCCCCTGCGCCTTGGTGGTGGGCCCATGTTTCCTAAGAAAGGCTGTGGGGCTGGCTCTCAGCCTAGCAGGAAACCAAATTCCCTGCATTTCGCCCCAGCCTAGAATATAAGGCATGACAAACTGTTGCCGCATTCATCTGATACTTTGCAAATTTTAGGAACAGTAGCTCGGATAATGTTTCCCACCGTTTTCTAGACACCTCTTGAGTCCTAGGGAGAGGAAGCGGGGCTAAACAGCAGCAAGAGGAAGTTGTGATCAAGGAATTCTTTTCCCTCTAGAATAGGTGTGCTCTTGATACCAGTGTTGTCTTCTTTTCCCGGGATGGTTACAAGGAAACCTGTAGAAGTGGGAAGAGAACTGGACTTGGAGCTGATCAGAACACTTTCACCCAAGTCATTTCTGCTCCATTAGACTCCGTGCTGTTTCAGTGAGATGAGGTTAGGCTTGGGATGGCTTCGGCATTCTGTGATTAAACAGAAGAGATTCTGAAGGCTTCTTTTGCCTC